GGAACATTCCAGGCAAAGGCATTAAGACAAGCAGGTGGCAGACCCTTCACCAGAAGAGTTATAGTGCAGCTTAGCATGCAACTGTACAAATCCCAAACAAGTTGCCTTGTACACATAAAAAGTGACTCCATCCTTTTGTGCTTCAAAGTTATAATAAAAATAAAAACTCTGTTATCATAGATTTACTTAAAATTCAACATTACTGAACTTCATTCTCATGTAAAAGTATGTCAAGAACCCTCCTTAGTCTCCTCTTCACTCGTGGTCGGACATGTTAGCTGATTGCCCTGACACTAAGTGGGTGGGAGCGCCTTGTCTCCATATGTTGGACATTATCTGTCAGCTGCTGCATTGTGTGTGTCCAAGCTCTTACACCACAGCTTTCAATTACATGGGCCACAAACCAGTACATTGATCCTCTCACCTCTGTTTCCAGTCAAAGTGCATCCACTGAGGTTTTCCTCTGACGTTTACTATCTACACCCATGAAGTGTCCTCAGTGTACAGCGGACGTGTTTGCAGACGTGTATGAAGCTGGAGTTGTTTGTGCACGTGCTTAAGCTAACAGGACAGCGGGGCTTTTCATAGAGCACATAGAGCACAATGGCGGTAGTGTCTGTAGATCAGATCCTAATTGGAAACAAGAGTGTGCCTGCAGGACGCCTCTTGTCATAGTCGGCCGCGTTGTTGATCAGATAATGGGATTGCACATCAGCAGAGGTGGAAGAGAATCTGTGCTCAGGTGATAACGATCCTCTTTAAGTAACATTTTAGTAAGTATGCATTAATAACTGTGAATTAAGTTAGTTATAAGTTGAAAGTAGTGTTCCGTCATTTGATTTTAGTACTATTTATGCTACTTCTGCTTATATTGTACTACAACTATGATCACTAAAAATACTTTCATACTTTTCTGCAACAAGTAAGCTACTGCTACAGGTACTGCTAGGACAACTACTACCAATTCTACTGCTAGCCTTTTACTTGTGCTGTTACCTCAACAACATACAACTAGACCTACTAAGTTATTATCATGTCATTTATGTCACTATCAAAGTATTACCAGTAGCAGTACTGTTGTTCTTTGGCCTTTAAGGATAATATTGAAAGTATTCTAAATGTACAGTACTGTGAAATAATATTGTTGAGATGTCTAAATAAATAGCAGGATGCAGTACTTAAGTAATTAGTTTGTGTCATTTTAGTTAATAATTCAACTTTCTAAGGCTGAAATCTTAGCATTTTGCAGAAAAAAGTCCCAGTACTACAAAGAAAAAGCACCCACAATAAATATTATAACCCACAAAAATGATTGCTCCATTTTATATATATTGAGCAATCGTATGTACATATAAACACAAATGTTCTTCTACTTCTTTTGGCAAGCTTTTTTTTTTTTTTGCAGTTTCAATATTTTGCCATTTTTAACCATGGCAATTGTAAATAGTACTTTAAAGGTACACATTATCTGGACTGTGACTTAAACCAAGCATATAGTTTGTTTTGTGACTTCCACCTGCACATTTTTACAAGTCGGAGGTGTTTTGCTGGTCTCTTTTTTAACAACTCTTTTTCCTTTTGCACACACTGACCAAAAGCTCAGTGGTACATAGCCAATGGTAGTATCCATAGCTGTAGGGTGAGGGGCCAGTCCTGACTTTGTGTCCTGGAATGCGGTTGACTTTCTAAATCCCCAGCAGTCTGTCCTGGAGCAGTGGGGCAGGGCCTATCTGTAGCCCCCTCTTTTTCCAACACAAGCTCCGTCTGGAATCTGTAAGCAAGCAGTTAGCCGACCCATACCCTCTCTACCGCTGTCACGCTTGTCGTCTGCGTAGTATCTATCTATGCAATGGAAGACGAAATTACGGATGAAGAGAAGACAGGTAAATAATGAGCTTTTGAATAACTTCGGAGGAGGTCTTGTGCTGTCAGTTATGTGTAATTTTGTTAGTTGTGTTTGGGAGTTAAAAATAGACTTGGATGTACATGAAGACCAAGGCTTGTGAACTTGAGTAGTGGTGGGGGTGCCAGTGACAAGGCTGCAGTAGTGACACACGACTCAAAATAGTATGCGCAAACAAGCAGAATGAAATGAATTAATGCAGTTATTTTCAGATATATGCTGACAATGTGTGGCCTGCAGATAAAAAATTTAAAAAGTTGCAGCTATTCTTAGTTTAATGTGTATGGTTAGGATGTAAACATGACTGACCCCTTGTGTGTAATCATTGTCAAAGCTTCCTGCGAAGTTATGACTGCATCGTATAGTATTTTCCACAAGGTACACTTGCATTGAGAATAAGTTTGATGAACATACTTTTATTTACTTTATTCTGTTACTTAATCACCAAAACACAACTGCACTTTGATACTGCTCATCTGCATACCATCCCCACATGCCAGACTATCTAAAGCATAACTGGCAAGTAGCGTATTCTAAACATATCAAATATTGTATACAGTTACATCTATATAGTACATTGTGTGTGACATACAGTATAAATGTCCCCAGGCTATTCTCTGATCTATGTTAGAATGTTGTTTCCTCATCAAAAACATACCTGGAGTTGTGTTTTGTTTCATTCACACATGTTTAGCGTGCGTTTAAACTCCATACACTTTTACTAGAATCATTTGGATCATTGTTTCCCAAAGACTGGATCATAACCCTCAGGTGGGTCGCAAGAGATTTTTTTGGGGTCGCCTGATATGCGACTGATAAGTGTGTTGTGCCCTCCTCCTGCAACCCGCACTGGAACACGCTACAAAAAACGTAGACAATGCCCACCTATCTCATTAGAAATGTTGGCATGTTTTGTATAATATCTAATCTTTTGTAATTATTTTATTGATTATTTTGTTCCAATATTGCTGGTTTAATTGAATGTTGAAAAGAAAAAGAAATGGGCTACATTTAATGTCCAAATAGGCGACTTATGGATCCTTTTATTGTTGGTTCAATTCCTATTTTTTATTGTTTAAAACTTGAGTAATACTAATTGTTCAGAGAGACACGATCACTCAGTCAACTCAGTCAATAAAATATCCTCATTAATGTTCAATAATGGTTAAATCCCCCTTTATTTTGTGATGAACAAATAATGTCTATTGACTTGGATTGCGACGGTTTGTGACTCTTAAAATATGGGTCCCCATTTGGAAAATTTGGGAAACACTTATTTGGATGATTTCAAACCTGGAATTGGCAGGTGTTAATTTTAAAAACTACCGCTTCAATACATCACAACGTAGAACAGAACATTCTGAGCTTTGGAGATGACAGACTAATAACAAAGGATTACTCAACATGTGAAAGTAATAAAACACAACAACATTTTTTGATGAGGTAACAACATTCTAACATGGCTCTCAAGTTACTTTGCATAATATTGAACCTTTATCCAGCTTTCTATGGTAAATAATTATAATGATCTTGACATTTCCTAAAATATTATTCAAATTTCCTCTTAATTGTTTGAAGTATTTTGGGATTACTGTAGTGTGATCCAGGTTGGATTATAGGTCATTTCTGTGGAAGTGGCTTTTGCTCTTGGTTTCTTTTGTGTTGACAGGCTTCTTATTGAGCACCTTAACTACCGTCACTGCCCAAAGACACGCAATTGTTGGATGAAATAGAATCCACATTTGGAGCTGTACCCATAAGGCCCATAGTCGCTGGCTGTCGTGGCGGTTCATTTAGGAAGAAGCAGGGGAGATGAATAAATACAATGTTGTTATATTGCTTGTGGATCCCTTGTTATCTTGTTATCACACTTGTTCTTTGCGGCGCCTCACTCCTGTCATACATTTCAAAAGCAAACGAAGAATTATGTGTTGTTGTTTCTGGCTCACAGCGTGCTTTTAAGCTTTCAAAACACAAAATGAAAAGTCCTATTATATTTTAGCGCACACAAACCCACTTCAAATCCCCTGTTTACGCCGCGTGGGATTGACGTCCTTTATTTTGTACCATTACACAGTGAAAGGTACATATTATAGGTTTGTCTTTTGTGAAGGAAACGGCAGCAGATCGGTCAGACTTTATTGCTCGGTTCCCACTGGCCTGGCTCGGGTCTTCGCCCTCAGACATATTCTCGACTTGATTTCCTGCCTTTTCTATGGAGGTTTCCGAGAGAACAGCTGTTTTACATCTCCACTGTCATCGAATCTTGTGTCTGTCATGTGAAATTTAAGGCTGAATTATAAAACAGCATTAACTTGTCGTATAGCGGGTTGACAGATTCAAGTAGCTTTTTCCGCTTGCTTCTGGGAATTGTCACTAAAATCTTTTATTTGTTTGTCAGTCTCTTCTCTCGCTGTGCAAAAGGTTTTTGTCTAGAAGTTTTTGTACTTTTAACTGTCGAATTGAACCAAGGCGAGTAGTGTCTTGGATAGACTTCATCTACAGATCTTATAACCTCATAAGAAATACGCAAGTTTATATATTGATTTTTAAATGTTCTCAAATTGTAGGATACTGTGCAATTTAATGTGAACCATCAATATGACTTTAAATAAATTATTTTCATGTACATGCTACACAACAGGGATTTTTGTGCATACAATATGTTAAACAATAAATTGTTTAGGTTGGATTATGCAGGAGTCCTGCAATCTCCAAGTGGATTGGTCAGAGGACATGTAGATATATATTATCCTTTAAGCAAATTTTTGCTTTAAGAGCTTCACTTTACTGCCACCTGTTACTCTTTCAGAAAATGACCAAGAAAATGTGAGGCAAAATGTCTGTATTTGAGCATATTTAAGCAGCATTAAACAAAGAAAGACTGAATCATGATATGACGATATCACCAAATTAGATCACAATTAGACTAGATATTGTCCAGCCATATATTTAGTCTTAATGAATGGAGAAAGAGGTCTGTGAGTCCTCTTCAAGATCTCTTTAAGATTTAAAGCCCACAGACACACACTTGAAGCTATGTCATAACATTTGTGGAGTTCAACCCTCCTGACCTATTGTTCTTGTTTTCCCTTAGAGCAAAGCAAGAGCAACCTGAAGGTAACTTCCCTTGACGACAGCGAGCAGGTGAGCCGCAGGCAGCCGTCCCCCAACGGGAGCCACCCATCCAGCAGGGAGCGAGATGCTAAGATCAGCCGGACCCTCCCGCGCAGACACACAGTAGGAGGTGCGCGGGGGTCCAAAGAGATCCTCGCCATGCAGCCGTCCGACATGGACAAGAAGAGGGAGGCCTTCCTGGAGCATCTCAAGCACAAGTACCCCCACCACGCATCAGCCATCATGGGCCACCAGGAGAGGCTACGTGAGCATGTTAGTTCAAAACTTTTATTCTTTTTGCCTATACAGTGTTTTTACTTGAGTACAGACTTTGAGTAATTCATTTCAAATCCATATATAAGAGTGATTTTATTAATGTTTTCCTCCTACTGGGATGAATTACCTGAACATCATATCAAAGAGCCCTTTGGGTACATAGGAAACTGGTTTTAGTTGTGGGATCTGGCAACCCAAAATAAGGCCCTCATTGTTTCTGCTTTCTCACTAGAAAACTGGTTTGAAAACAAAAGCACAAAATGTTATTACAAATAACTTTTTAGTCAAGTAAAATGTTTTTGTAATCAGCAGCATCACTAAAATCAGTGTTTGATTTTGAAAACATTTCTCCACTCCATACACATAGTTTACAAATACACAATATACTATAACTAAGTATATTTTATATATTGGGCTATTTGAAAATACTACATATTATCCAGCCAAGATTACTTATGTAAGTTTGGTTCATCTTTTCAAATTTAACAAAAATGATAAAAAATTTAACACAGAGGACTACATTTAAAAGTGCATAATCTCGTGAACTATCATGGGAGAGTAGTCATTTGGTAAAGTACCTTAAGCTTGGCACTGAAATGCGGTAGTGTGCGCGGATTAAATCATTTGAGCAATCAGCTGATGTGTGCTGCCGACCGCTGGAGGACCATGCAGCTATTCAAGTGCACTTTGGAAGATTAAGTACATACTGCTCTGAATATCCTTACTGTGTGTTTCTAGATGGGCAGAAAACTCTAGAAATTGGATTCTACTCACCCTGATAAACTAATAAACTGCTATACATTAGATTAGCAGATTTGCATAACTTGTTTTGGGGCTGTGAGAGGAAAAAGTGGGAGTGAGAGCTTACTGGGTAACACATGGAAGACACAAATCAACATTAAAGGCCCTATATTACACAAATGTAACTTTTGTGAGCTTTAAAGTGCTATAATGCTTTAAGATGCTATCATTTTGCTACCCCATCCAAAACATACCTGGAGTTGTGTTTTGTTTGATTTGCACATGTTTAAATTGTCCTGGTTTATTAGTCTGTCTACATCTCCAAAGCTCAAAATGTTCTGTTCCACCTCATGATGTCATGATGTGATAGTTTTCACATTAACAACTACCTTTTACCTTTTATTAAGTGGAGATTTTCAATTCCAGGGCTGAAATCATCCAAATGAGGTGTAAAGAGTTTAAAAACAGTATTACTACACAACATCACAAATTGCAACTGGGTGTTTTCTGTTTGAGAGAAGAACTCAGTCTAAATGTGCAGGTTTTGTGCATTAAACCTGTGTGCATGAACGAAAACACAACTTCAGGTATGTTTGCGATGAGGAAACAACTTATAGTGTAATATGTGCAATATAGCATAATATGTAGAAAAAAAAACAAATTTTTTTTAATGACTATTTCTGGAATGCGACATGACATGTGATCAGGGGCTCAGCCAATCAGGGTTCAGTCCAAACTCAAAAGTATACAACTGGTGACTGACAGCCAAAATTAAAGAGGTAATGGAATTCACGTCAGACTAGTCCTCACTCAGAACTCATGCTACACTTTGAAAGCCATGGACGTGGTTTAAATTGATTTCTTGGACTTAACATCACCACAACCAAAGTGCCAGATGCCTTCCCGTAATAGTCCTTTCTATGGAGTGTGTTTGGGGCAACGAGAAGGGAGCTGCACAAGCGGGGTGCGTATTCTCGAGTCTTATGCTATCATCACAACCTTCTATTATTTTTATAGCACTGAATTTCAATACAATTACTGTCAGGTCTGTTTCTTTATTCATTGGCAGAACAATTTGTCAGCATTAAGTTTTATTGTTTCTCTATTTTGGCTCTTTCCTATTTTCTTGCTCAGGTGAAGGCAACCACAAAACTATTTCCTTCTTTCTGCGCTGCAGGTTAAAATCATGGCCCTACCTATAAATCTACTTGTCACTTCCCTCCCACAGTTTGCCTTAAGAGAGAGAAGGAGAGAGAGTGAGGAGCTGAGTCTGTGCTTAGTTACTGTAAAATGTTGTTTTTAACTACTGACAAATAGTGCGTGTATTTCAGTTCATTTCCCTTGGTTGTTTTAGCGCTGATTACAGTGAGTGAATGGATAGTGAACTCAGAGGGGGCATTGCAGCTCACCTTGTCATTGTTTGCTTGCAGTAGGTCAGGGAATGCATTGAGGTAGGGACAAGCAGGGCCTTTGTACCCAAAACAATTGAAGGTAATGGTGAAACTGGCATCTTGCCGCAGGGGAGCTCTGCGCAGATAAACAGACATTGTGCTGAACAGTTTGTATTTTCTCAGATTATGTGTGCAGCTTCCAACATGCAAATTTACCCTTTGACCACACTGGTAATGATCTTTGGGAATATATATATATAGTCAGAATATATCATATAGAATCAATAACCTAACTAACTTAAGATTTGTTTTCATTAGTTTCAAATTGTGGCGTCAGGTCAATGTTGCTGTTTTCTTAACCTGCTTTAGAGTTAAAAATAATAACAATAATAATAAGGAAAAGCTAGTTGTGAAATCGAGGTAGACAGACAGGTAAGGTGGGCCTTGGAGAAACGGGGGTGGAGCCAGAGTTGCCATAGTGACGCGTGATGTCAGCGCCCGAGGGAAAAGGGGTGGAGGGAGTAGGGGGGCAAGTTAACGTGTAGGTGCCTGCGTCTGGGGAGGACTGTGGGAGAGTTGAGCGTGTGTGTACACTGATGCGTGTGAGAGAGAAGGAGAGGCAGAGTGAGAGAGGGAGTGAGAGACACGGCGAGTGCAGCTGCTCCGAGAGGCGAGCGATGGATCAAAAAACCTTCGTCTGCAAACATGAGGCACCGTGCGTAAAGCCTGCACGGGAATACAAATAAACTTTTCCAAGAAAGCAGGACTAACTTCTTAACCGTGCGCTTCTGCTATAAAAAGAGGTAAGATACTTTATACAGCTCGTAATTTCTGAAGAATGCTGGATTATTTGCTCGTGTTTCGCTCTTGTGCCACTTTTACGCGCTCCTATAAAGTTCGCCAAGGAGTTTCTTTACCGCTGCAGTAGGCTACACTTGTCGCGATGTCAGGTGCCTCCAACTTTCCATAGCTGAAATGCAAAACGTGGCATCCGGGCGTATTGTAAAGAAAGTGTTGATACGATCTAGTGCGCTTTTGTTGTTTACGGAGGAAGGCGCCCGTGAGGTGGTGTCACGTAAATCATTCTACAGGTACTATCTATGCGGGCTTCCCAGGTTAATGAGGCACTAAAAGCAAAACAGCATGCTGTAATAATAGACTTGATTTCGTTAAAAGTGCACGGCGCAACTTTTCTGGTGGAGTGTCCGCTATTGTGGATGCTTTTGCTTTGTCTGGAATGCCCCACAGTATGACATTAAACGTATTCATATTGGATTTATTCAGTTATGCATGTTTTTGTGGCTAAATATACCTTGGGAAAACATGCTCATCTCCACAGATTTTACCAGTCACTTGGTGGAGGTGGTGGACCCTTCACTAGAAAAGTTACAATTAAAGTCGTTTCACGTGCACTTTATTGCAAGAAATGCATTATATTCTTTCTCATTTTGGCTAGACTATGATGGGTTACCTGGTTGCTACACAGTCTAAATAAGACTAAATAAGTTGCTATGGATTCAGGGAAATCATTCATGGCATTAAATAAGTTTGATTCTTGCAGGCTGAATTAGCACAAATCCAATATGGAACGTCAAGACCTATGAAACCAGTCATGTTTGATTTATGCAGCAGGTACAGCAGCATAAAGCATGGCCAAAACAACTTTATTGGAGCGTTTCTCATCCAGTCTGCCATAGAGGTGTAATTATTCTGCCTGGGAGAGAAACAGCAGGAGAGCAGCTCACTGTTGCTCGCTTTAATGTAGCACTGAGATTGGACAAAAAAAATGTGTGTCTGTGTGTATGTGTATGTGTGTATGTGTGTGTGTGTGTGTGTGTGGCATACTGGAACGGCAACATAAGTGCTAACAGAGCATGAAGCAGAGGTGAGAAGAAAATGTCCCTGGAGGTTTGGGTTACAAAGAGGAGATTTATCAAGGTCAGGCGGAGGTTGGGAAGATGATCCCACTTTGGTGAAGTGGATGACCTGCTCCGCCCAGCGTGACAGAGCAAAGGTGCATGGCATAGGCTACTAAGGAGATAGCGAAACATACTAGGGAATATAGGCCAAACATGGAATTGTAAAGCAGCCATAAAGGAGTTAATGTTGTGAAATGTATAGATAAGCTTAGAAGTAAGTAAGTTTACTATAGTTCCTGTATTTTTCAAAATGCAATCCTTTAATTCTGACATAATGGTAAACCAGGAATTGTAAAGCTGTTTTTACATTTTTTTATTGCTTCTTTTGTTGTCTATCTTGCCTTCAATTTTCTTTCTGTAAACAGTGCCACACAATACCTTTGAGTTTGGGCTATTTTGACCCTGTAAGATTACTGTAGTCTGAGTTGGAACCTTGTTTACAAGTACTCCTTGACCAGTCTCTTCATTACCCTTTTTGGAGCCATAACAAAGCAGTGAGCAGTTTAATTTCCTCCTGTCCTCTTCAGACCCCGCAAAGTCCTGGATCCCACCCAAGGGAGCTAACGGAGATAACATCCGAGTGTCCCACCCGCCACCCAGCCTCTGCCCAGGGCTTTGACAGGCTCGCACCGGGACGCTTGAGCAATCACACGACACGTCCCCTGTGTGTGTGTGTGTGTGTGTGTGTGGGGTGATGTGTGATGGGGTGAGCCTTCGGGGGGAGTACGGTGGCCTTGTTGGGACAGCTGTCTGCAGTGGTGGACAGACAGAGTAGACAGGTCTGCAGAGCCCCAAGCTGTGATAATCCTCCCAGTGATGAGAGGGCAGATTGTAAACAGTGTTGTAGAGTGGGGGTCAGTGGGTCTATTGGTCCACTAAGTTTAAGTTAAGTTTAAGTTAAGTTTGTGCATTGATTTGAAGTCTGAAAATAGGAATTGTAGAAAAA